TGGCCGCCTGCTGCTGCAGCGCGTTGGGCTGGTGCTCAGGTGGCTGTGGCTGTGGGAAGGGCTGTTGCCAGCAGAAGTGCTGCTGCCAGCAGAAGTGCTGCTGCAAGAAGCAGTGCTGCTGCTAGGAGGCCGGCCTGGCTCTGACAGGTGCTGCAGATTCCTGCTCTGCTGGTAAGACGGAAGCCTGCAGGCGCTGTCCGGGTCAGCTTGCTCCCATTGCTAGGGCTTTCTGCCAGCCCACCTGTCTGCTCTGTGTCACCCTGTCACCTGGATTTTATGGCACATTCTTTCATGGTTCTCATGCTGTATGGTTTACATAATTATTTCTGTTTTGAGATATGAATCTTCTCCTCGGTCATTCAAGGACAAAGATGGAGAAGATCTTGATTCCTGAGGTCAGCATATGGGGTCACGGTTTGTACTGTTTCTTTCTTTGAACTTTCTTCTACTTACGTATCTGGTATTTTTGTCTGTATCACATATGATATGTCCTTTCTGTAGTCACAGAGTATTTCTAGATGTTTCCTTAAAATGTCTTAATAAAATGCAAAATTTAATTCCAAACAGTGTCTTCTAGTGTTATTTTTATTTCCATTAAACTACCATTAATTATGATCTCCCATGGTTTGAGGCAGTTACGGACACACACAATTATGTGTTTCTGTGATTTACAATCTAGTCACACACAAATAGCCATCCACAGGAGGTCAAAAATAATGATCATCTTAGAATCTACGCTGAAGTATGTCAGGAGCAGGAGGGACTCCACATTGTAGGGTGGAGAATGGGTATAATTTGGAGCGACTGAAATAGCTTCAAAAAGGAGGGAATATTTTTGAGTGTGGTTTGAAAAATGAGTAAAGTTTAGATGAGTGATGATGATTGGCAGCAAATAATCCCAGAAGGAGGGCCAAAGAGTGAGCAGTGGAAACACTGAGGACATCGATGGGACCAGGAAATCATGACTTTGACTTAGTGCATTTTATTTTTGATAGAGAGATTTTTGCTATAGGGTGTGTGTGTGCTCACTAGAGAGATGGAGAGAGACAGAGAGATAGAAAGCAAGAAATCATCCCCCCCGGGGGGGGGATGGCCAAACCACAGTTCTTTCTCCTCCATTCTCCTCTCGGGATTTTGGGCATGCATGCACACATGCCTGGCGTTGTAAGCCACCAGGTCCAGGACTCTAACCGTGGTCTACTACATGGCAGTCTAGCAACATAACCATCAAACCATCTGCTGGCCCCGACCTATCACGTTTCAATATAAATAGAAAAAAGCAGTGGAAGGAAGACTAGACCTATGATAGAACTCAATTTGAGAGATTGAGGGTTTCATAACACCACCACGAACAACTACCATTCCCATTGCCCGTAGAAGCAGGGCGTTCTTCTAAGACCCTACTCATGTCATGTATCATGGTGTGAGAAGCACTGACATCATGCCCATTGCACAGACAGGGACTCAGCACAGAGTACTCAGTGACTTGCTCAAAGTACACAGCTGGGTGGGTGGATGAATTTGGGAAAAAAGGTTACCAGGCACAGGAATGCATGTGAACAAGTGGAATTGCTTATGAAGTGGTGTCCCAAAGCAGAGTGACAAACAGCACTGAGAATTTCACATACACTTCTCAAAAAAAAAAAAAAAAGAAAAAAGAAAAGAAAAGAAAAAGAGAGAGAGACCACCAGTTAGTCTAATGTCTATGTCGCTGGACTCCCATGTAGTCGACCGTGGTTCGTGTCCCAGACCCGGTGGCTTAAACTCATGCCAGGTGCATGTGCGTGCGTGCCCAGGATCCCGCGAGGAGAATGGAGGAGAAGGGATTGCGGCGTGACCATCCCTTCTGGGGAGCGATTTCTCGCTTTCTGTCTCTCTGTCTCTCTCTGTCTGTCTGGCGAGCGCACGCACCCTATAGCAAAAACCTCTTGAAAACGCATTCTGTACCAGACACAGATGCAACAATACTTAGATCAGCTATCCCAAGAAAACAGCAAAGAATAAAGAATATGTAGCATACAAAAAATAAATAGGGGGCTAGCAAGTGGCATGGAGGTCAAGGTGACCGGATCTCTCATGGCTGATTTTGCAACTTGAGACCCCGACCTGGTGGCTTAAAAAACACACTAGGTGTGTGTGCATATGTACTCAAAATCCCCTGAAAAGAATGGAAGAGCAAGGATTGCAGCATGGCCACCCTCCCGGGGGGCAGGGTGATTTCTCATGTTCTCTTTTTCTTCCTCTCTCTCTCTATCCAGTGAGTGCAAGTGCCCAATATCAAAACTTAAAATAATAATAATAAGAACCCAGTTGTTGCTGGGGGAACTGTGATGTAGCGCTGCTATGGGCCCGTGCGGGACACTGAGTGGGGACACTGAGCTGGGAGGCAATATGCAGAGTGAGTTGGTTCATCGGGAGAACTGAAGCTGTGTCTGAAATCCTGGGACAAGAAATGAAGGCCTGAAACAATAGCCGACAGACTGGCGGGTGTATTCGTAGGAGTTAAGGACATAATCAACACCTAAGAAATGACGGCCATGTCTGTGACTACAAGATAAATGACAATAGAGATCTCAAATGAGGTGACTTCCGTTCTTTGCTGAGAGATTTGGGAGATAGCACAAGATAACCCATATAAAATTTATATTAAATATGGTAAGGAGCTGACCTTTTTTTTTTTTTAAGTTGTTTGTTTCACCCGGTAAGGTATAGAGGGAAACAAAAAAGTTGTCTAGGGGACAGCAAGTAGCGTGGTGGTTAGGGTGCGGGACTCTCACATGGGCAACCACAGTTCAAGTCCCAAACCTGGCCCCTTTCTTTTTCACTTTCCCCTTTTCTCTTCCTGGCGAGTGCATATGCCTTATAGCAAATTAAAAATCATAATAATGATAATGATAAATAAAATTAAATAATTCTCTAAAACTAGCAAAAAGCTGTCTCATAAATGTAGGTGGCAATCCCCCACCAGTCACTGATTCCGCCACAGCATGGTTATCCTACTGCAGATGGTCCATCATGGTTATTTTGAGAGAAGGCAGGTTCACTCGGTTTCTTATGGCCCGACCTGAAAAGATTTAGGCTTGGAAACTTAGCCTTTATGATCTTATTTGGTGTTGATCTTTTGCATTCATATGAAGAGGAACAATTTTGATACAGACTGTAAACCAAAAGTACACTTTATACGGATCACGGGCTTGGCCACGTTATGGCTTGTAATAGTTATTATTAGAACAAGTGGATACTGTATATAGTCTCCAGCCCCTTGATGATGTTTCGGTCACAATGGGTAACATTGTGATGATAGTTCATAAGGTCCTCACGCGGCTGAACAATTCCTGTCACCTAGTGACGTCATAGCTGTCGTACTATCGTGGCACAACAGATTACTCACGCGTTTGCACTGGTGCTGGTGTAAATAAGCCTCCTTCACTGCCAGCCCTGTCAAAGCGTAGCACAAACGGTTACAGACACTACGTAATACTTGGTAATAATTAAGGGCTATCATGACTGGTTGATATGTTTGCTACACTTTTTATCCTTAGTTTAGAGTATACCTCTACTTACATGAAAAAAGTTTCCTGTCAAACAGTATCTTGAAGGCAGCCTCATACGTGTCATGGTTGACGTGCCTCTTCATTTCCTCATTGTCCCTCATGCTTATTTTAATCTCGTTTGCTATTCATCATGGGCCGTCCGGTGGGACAAGATGTGGAGATGGGAGATGATGTTAATGAACTTCACCCAGGATAGGACTAGGCTAATGCGTGTGTTTGTGTCTTAATTTGTAACAAAAAGTTTAAAAAGTAAAAAAATTAACTTTTTTTTTTTTTGCTATAGGTCATGTGTGCTTGCCAGAGAGAAATGAGAGAGAGAAAAAGAGAGAGAGAGAGAAAGAGAAAGTGAGAAATTACCCACGGGGGGTGGTGGGGGAGGGATGGCCATGCCACAATCCGTTCTCCTCCTGTCTCTTCTTGGGATTTTGGCATGCATGCACATGCACCTGGCATGATTTTCCACTGGGTCTAGGACTCAAACAGCATAGCAATTCATGTGGGATCCAGGCCCTTAACCTCCACACCACTGCTGGCCCCAGAAAATTTTAAAAAATTTAAAATATGTAAATCTCATAGAATAAAGGTATAAAGAAAAGAGTTTTCTACAGATGTTCAATATATGTTTTAGGCTAAGTATTATCATCAAAAAGTCAAAAATTTAAAAAATTTAGAAGTTCATAAGTAAAAAAAGTTGTGGTAAACTTAGGTTAAGTTTATCAAAGAAAAATATATTTTAAAATAAATTTAGTGTAATCTAAGTGTATAGTGTTTATAGAATCTACAGCAGCTTAGAGTAATGTCCTAAGCCTTCACATTCACCCCTCCCTCGCTCACTGACTCACCCAGAGCAACGTCCAGTCTGGTAAGCTTCATCCTTAGTAAGTCCCCTCTATGGGTATACCTTTTTCTATTTTTTAAAAATACTGTATTTCTATTACTTAAATATGTCTAGTTGTACAAATGCATATCTAAACTTTTCTGGTTTTTGTTTAGATATACAAATGTCATTGTGGTACAGTTGCCTGAGCATTGAGTATAGTGACACGATCCAGGTTTGTAGCCTAAAACAATAGGCTGTGTTCTATAGACAGGTACATAGTCGGCAGGCCATCCAGAATTGTGTAGGTGCAGTCTGTGATGCTCACACGGTGACACAACAGCCTCACGATGCATCTCAGAACATACCCCATTCCTAAGTGACAAATGACTGTTTATTACCTATCTCACACACACGACACATAGATAAGGTCTTCCATGTGTCTTACAAAGGTAATATGCTTCTATGTTATCCATATTCCCTGTTGTATTTTTATGTAACCCATGCTACTCATATATATATATATATATATATATTATGCATATGTTACATAGAACATAGCTGTATATACATCGGGTTACAAATGGGTTACATAAAAGGGGATTTCAAAAAGTTCGTGGGCAAAGAAAACTGCCTGGATTTCAAACTTCTTTTGCACCAAAATAAACTTATAGTTTAATTTTCTTTTCCACAAGCTTTTTGAAATCCCCTCATACCTTACATACAATATTTACCCATACATGTGTATTCTCAAAGCCTGAACTTCATGGCTCACATGTTATTTTGTGTTATCTGGTAACAGTTGCAGTTGTTTCTGTGGCTGAACCTCGCTCCTCCTCTTTCCATCTGTCCCCTCCTGATCTTTGCGTCAGCTGTTGCTCCTTGGGCTTTGTTCACGTGTTTACTTCATGCTCTGTGGCTTCTGTGACCCCGATTGTCCTAGGCTAGACTGTTATCGAAACACTTTTAAGTACTTGAAGCTGGCCAAAGAAAAGGCATGAGCTCTTCTGCATATAGGTACAGAAAGATCCTTGCCTTGTGTGTGTGTGCTGGCTGGCTCAGAGGAGGAAGGCAGGAATTGGTGAGAAGTGGGGAGTGCGGTGAGGGAGGGACAGAAGGTGGACCATGGTGATGGGCTTGCTGCAACGAGTTGGAAAGAGATCTGGCGACCTTGAGTCTTCTTTGAACTTGACATTTTACTTTAGTGGTAGGACGACCGAAAAGCAGCCCGAAAGCTAAACAGCCTTGCTGACTTTCTGGCTTATTCCATAATTCAGGTTCTTTCAACACGAGGGCATCTTTGCAAGACCCTAAACTGATGGCATGGTGCCTTAAATCTGTCCCACATTCCGTTGATTCGAGTAACGGTTGCTGCTTTCATTTTGTTAGACTAATTGATCTAGAATCAGATGATACTGATCTAAACCCACTGTGACAAAGAAAGATAATATTTTAATAATTAGGCATTTTTTAATTGCCAGAGGGCATGTGCACTTACCAGAGAGAGACAGACTGAGAGAGCGGGAAAAGGAGAAAGCGCCGCCCCCTCGGTAGCACATGGTCATACTGTAGCTTCTTCTCCGCTTCTCCATCCTGTCAGAATCTGGGGCACATACATGTGTGTGCACACGGACACACACACACACACACAAACACATGTATGGCATGTTTTTCAAGCCACCAGGGCTGAGATTTGAACTGCACAGTTAGCCATGTGGGATCTAATTTCCTAAACACAAGGCCAAGGTATCGGCTCAATATTTAGTTTTTAAAAAATTGGCTATCGGCTACGTGCACTTAGAGAGAGACAGAGAAACGGAGAGAGCACTGCACAGGGAGAGTGGCCTCACTGTGATCCCTTCTCCTCCGTTTTCCTCTTGGGATTTTGTGCAAACACGTACATGTACCCTGCATGCTTTTCAAGCCACGGAACCCAGGGCTTGAGCCATGCAATTGGCCATGTGAGATCCAGCCACCTTAACCACCACACAACCGACTGGCTCTAGTTTTTCTATTAGATAAATTTCAAAGGTCAATTATTAATAAATAAAGTATAATGAAATAATTTCTTAGCTGACTTTTTGCAAATGCTTTATGTACCAAAGGTAGCATAGTGGACCAGTCTGCGGCACCTGCCTCGACAAGACAGCATAGCCTGGGTGGCTTTAACACACTTGCGTTAACACACTTGTTTTTTTCACAGTCTGGAAGTTGGAAACTCAAAATCAAGGTGCCAGTAAGCCTGGTTTCTCTCCCTCAGCCTCTCTCCTTGGTTTGTAGGGGGCTGTCTTCTCTTCTCACTATTCCCTATTTTTTTTTTTTTTTGGAGAGGTTTTTGCTATAGGGCACATGCACTCACCACAGAGACAGAGAGACATAAAGCAAGAAATCCCCCCCCCGCCCCCCCAGAGGGAATGGCCACTCCACAATCCCTCTTCCTCCGTTCTCTCAGGATCTTGGGCACACATGGACATGTGCCCGATGTGAGTTTAAGCCACTGGGTCTGGAACTCGAACCATGCTCAACTACGTGGGAGTCCAGCGACATAGCTATTACGCTAACTGCTGGTCCCTTCCTACATGGGCTTTTCTTTGTGTTTTCAATCCTCGTGTTCCTGCCTTCTCCTAAGAACAACAGCTATACTAAATGAAGGCCCCACCCTTATGACCTCATGTAAACTATTTACCTACAAATACAGTGACATTAGGGATTAAGGCTTAACATAGAAATATTTGAGGAGGAAACAATTCAGTCTATAACACTTATCATTATTTTAAGTCCATAGAGATGGATTGATTTGGATCTAACATGTAGTAGTAACAGAGCACTAAATTAAAATGAAATTAACCATTAAGATTAAAATTGAGTGGAGACCAGTAGCCATTATGTCACTGGACTTCCACATGGCTGACTGCAGTTCAAGTCCCGGACCCAGTGGCTTCCAAATCATGGTGGGTGTTTGTGCGTGCATGCCCAAGATCCTGGGAAGAGAATGGAGAAGAAGGGATTGTGGTGTGGCCATTCCCCTGGGGAGTAATTTCTCACTTTCTCTCTCACTGTCTCTGTCTCTCTTTTTCTCTGGCGAGCACGTACACCCTAAAACAAAAACCTATTTATTTATTTATTTTCTTGAGAGAGATGTTTTGCTATAGTGTATATACTCTGGCCAGAGAGACAGAAAGCAAGAAATCAACCCCCCCCCCAGGGGCAGTGGCCACACTGTAATATCTTCTCTTCCATTCTCCTCTTGGAATCTTGAGCATGCATACACACATGTCCAGCATGAGTTTTAAGCTTCCGGATCTGGGACGTGAACCATGGTCAATGACGTGGAAGTCCAGTGACATAACCATTACACCTTCTGCTGGTCCCGACAAAAACTTCTTTAAAAAAAAAAAAAAGATTGGGACCAGCAGTTGGCATAATGGCTATGTCGCTGGATTCCCATGTGGTCAACCACAGTTCGCATCCCGGACCCAGTGGCATAAAACTCATGCCGGGCATGTACACATGCGTGTCCAAGATCCCAAGAGGTAAATGGAGGAGAAGGGATTGCGGTGTGGCCATCGCTTTCTGTCTCTCTGTCTGTCTGGCAAGTGCACATGCCTTATAGCAAAAAAACCCCAAAAACAAACAAACAAACAAAAACCCAAAACAAAAAAGCAAACGAACAAACAAAAACAACCTCTCCAAAGGGGGGGAAAAGATTAAAATTAGTTAAAGTTGGGGGGCCAGCAGGTGGTGTGGTTAGGACAGCTGGATTCCATATGGCCGACTTCGCGCTTCGATTTCCAGACCTGGTGGTTTGAAAAAACATGTCAGGTGTCTGTGTATGTGTGCCCAAAATCCTGAGAGAAGGAATTGTGGCACAGCCATCCACCCTGTGTCTTTTCTCTCTCTTTCTCTCTCTCTCCAGTCAGCACATGTGCCCTACAGCAGAACTAAAAGAAAAAAAATAGGAAAAGTTGAAATATAATGTATGCATCCTACGATATGAACCTATGTGGACAAAACGCTGTGTGTGAAGATACAATATTCTTTAATTTGTCAGATGGCGTGTGAGTTTACCGGAGAGTGGTAGACACGGAGAGCAGGAGAGGCAGCGAAAGCGCTCCTCGGTGGGGTACAGGCACCCCGCAATCCCTTCCCCAGTTCTCCATCCTGTGGGACTGTGGGCACACGTGCACGTGCACCCAGTGATTTGTTCTCAAGCTGCTGGAGTGAGTATTCCAGCCATGCAGTCGGACATGCGGAATCAAGCTGCTTACCCAGCCGTGGGCCAAC